ATGTAACCATTTCTTTGTGTTCTTTCCATCTTTGCCACACAAGCCGTTTGTAGTAATATCAGACAGTTATGTACTTCATGTATGATATGTAATTTACAGACCCATGTTTTTGCAATTTGCCGAAACTGAGAAATTCCTAGAAACATACTGAATTACTTAATATGGTGTGATGAAGTCTTTAACGATAACATAAGTACAATTTTAAAATCTAAAATAAACATTACATGTATTTATTCCATATATTTACGTAAACATGCTTTTCATTTAAAGGAACCATTATTTCTGCATCTGAAATAAAAAGAAAGATACCAACTTTATACCCAAAATAATTGACAACTTTATGTAGGTAATTGAAAGATATATTTTGCTGGTGAAATAAATTCTATATAATGTACATGTTTGTATTTTAATTTTGTATTGTAAATACTTAAAAGCTGATGTACACGTGTGTTTTCAAAGCAGAATACTATTAAAATGAGAATGTATAGCAAACAAAAAAAAAACTGAATTCATTTAATTTAATGCTTCTTTCTACTTTTCACTTTCAAATATTATATTTGTATGATTTCAAAGACAGGAAGCGAGAAACAAGCATAATTCAATGACAAAATTGACGAAATTGGACAGGCAATAAAATTGTTCGGCCATCGTACTCATTAAATTTGGTTCGACCATTGTACTCGTTTTTTAAAAGATGCACACCTTCGTTATGCAACTTTACAATGGATGGAAATTGTTCATGACGGGCAAACTTGAAATTGTGCACAAGATGTCATTGCTAATTTTGCTCAAAATGCGTTTCTTTTACTGAAAACACCACATTTTAGTACCTGTCCGGCCATTGTACTCATTTCCAAAAACAACTTTTTCGACTTTCAGGCCTAAACAGAGAGAACTAAAAAGTAACCAATAACAGAACAGCGACGATATTCAAAACTTAGCACTGATCGTTCATGTAAAATAGAGAAAATAATAATGCCTTAAGAAATCCCAACACGTCAAAATTGAAAATGTTGCAGGCTCGGTTTAATTAAGTTTGATTTAGTTTGATTAATGTTTGTATGAAATTACACGAGTAGTTTTTTAAGAGTAGTCCGGTCACTTTTGTAACGAACAGATGGCCAGACGGATGTGCCCAAAGGTTGTATTTAAGTGGCTACTTTTGTTAGCCACGTAAGAGAAAAAGTAGCAACATTAGAGCTTACAAAATAAATAGAATCAAAGGAAATTTCCTGTTAACTATTGTTTCGATAACCCCCTCAGTATCTTTATGTTTAAACGGACAGACGACGGACGACGGTGAAATGATCTATATGTGTCGTCATTATTCCGTAGAGGCGACGCAAAAATGTCGCCAAAATGCATGTGTGAATTTAATATTGTGGTATTTTCCCATAAAGGCATAATATGCCTTAGAGACCAATATTTGCTTCCATTCTTTACAAAGAGTACATTCGTTTATAGCATTTAAACACTTATATTGGAGCATGTTAGATGATCATTACCTGAAAAGGTAGCTTTGAATGTTGAATTATTTGTAATGCATGTAGCATAATGTACACATCGTAATTTTATGACTTCTATAAAACTACTTTATTATATATTACAACAACTTTACTGACAAAATGTAACAGAAGCAAACTATGGTTGAAAACTCTAAATGGATACCAAAACTATAATCGAAGCACAGAAGGCGCTGAATTTGTTTGGGTCTCAGAATGTAAGAAAGGTACAGGTTGTGAGATTATATGTATAGTGCCATCAATGCTTTCCAGCGTTTTAATTGTAGTAAATTGGCTATAAGACTAATTGCAACACTGATATTTAATCCAATGTTTATTTGACTTAAACAATTTGAAAAAAAAATGAGTTGCCTTTACTGGGATTTGAACTCCAGACCTCTCGCTTCCTAAGCTAGCGCGAAAACCCTTCAGCCACGGTGAATTTATATGTAAACGGCCTGAAGAAAACCATATTATTCTAAATTAGGTCTTGTAACGACTTTAACTGTTGTTTAACACAGATGTTAATAATCCTGGAGCTTACTATAAGCATGTATATTTATAAAGAATCAAAGGGCTGCAAGTTATGTGGTATTTTCTGATCTTTGCAATCTAAATCGTAGTGTATATCTGTATGTATTTTCCTGTATAAGTTTATTTTATGTATTATAATTCATTTTGCAAGGCACCAGAGTTTGATACATACGGAATTCTGCATAACTAGAGTTGCATCAAAATATCATTAATGTTCATTTTTACGACAGCTACACTTTATCCTTGCATAGCATGGATTCTTCCTTAACAAAGACACTTAAAAAAGAATTTTAAAAAAGTTTCCTCGACTGGGATTTGAACTCCAGACCTCTCACTCACTAAGCGAGCGCGTTACCCCTGCACCACGGAGAAGTTATACAAATAACGTCTGAATAACATCAAGTCATTCTAAATTTAGAACTTCCATTGCATTTCGGATTTGTAATCCTTATTAATTTCGAGGTATTTTGTTCAGGATAAACCTGTTTTTTAAAATTGAAGTAGATAATTTAGCGAAAATCTTCTCGCCCAAACAGTCCGACATGTAGAATCTATATATTCCACTACTCGGTTGTGTAGTATTAGGTAATCGACATCGCTAAAATAGTATTTTCATTGATAAAATCATATTCATCCGCGTAATTTGTGATCGTGCATTTATTGACAATTCTATAAGCCAACGCTATTTTTAAACTTTGAATGCGTTGTAATTTGTTGGATACTTGTAACAAAATAAAAATATTTCTTTCTTTTAAATCGCTAGTTTTAAGCTGTTTTGAGAACTACTTGTTGTTAGGTTTATCGTAAACTTCTGTGTCAGAGATTGAATGTCCGCTTTGTATTTCTTATTTTCGATCAGAAAATACAAAAAAAACAATATTAGAAATCTTCGACTATTCGGAAATTATCTTGCTTGAAAATTAATGTGCCTGTCTTTGACCAACTTTACGTAGTGATCTCCCCTGAATTTTTCGGCGTTAGTGTACATATAAAGGGAAGTAACCGCTTCCAAAAAAAGTGGACTACTTTCGGCATTTGCAATTAACAGCATTAGACTCTGAAATTTCGCTACCATTATTTGTTTGGTCTGACGACCCAAACAAATAAAAATAAACTTTGAGAAATAAGATTAAAGGCTTTTTGGGGGGCATAATCGGCCTTAAAGAACAAATAACACATGCATAATAATATGTTTTGAAATATTTTATTTTATTGTTATTATAAATTATTTTATTTTGTTTAAGAACAACACATTTTTGCTAAATAATTAAAACATTTAACGTTACAACTCTATCGGGAATCGACAAGAGGATAATGGTTATGGAATATTTTACTGTTTTTAAATTTTGTAAAAAAATCTACATCAGATATATCTCGAGATCTATATCCTTTAAAGTAAATGATATGATTAGATCTAGGTATTTACATTGTTGAAAAGAATCAAGTGCGTGAATGAAGCATGTAAAATATGGTACAGAAAACCGAGCCTTTTTATTGTTAATCAGGTCAATTGTTCAACGTAGGCAGACATATGATTTGTCACGATATGTCTTTATTTTCAGTGAACACGACAACAAAACCCCCTTCAAATATACACAAGAATAAGATTATCTCATTCACTTTACAACGATCTTTTTCTTAATGAAATAAATACAGATAAATGTCATCCGGAAATTTGAAAACAGAATTAAATAAATAACAACTATACACTTGTACACATTTAAAACGAAATGTTCTAATTCCAACTGATCTTAAACATAATTTGATCTGCTGTAAAGCTGAAGGTACAATTAAGTGTGCGTTCATCATTAATTACATGCTTTTAAATTTGAGATTATATGAAAACATCGACTTTTACTTTATATGACTGTTAATGAAGAAACAAACATTTTAATAACGTTCTTTGTACGATAGGTGTTTAGTTTTTAAACGAAATAAACACCATCGTTCTATGGATGGGCATAATTTTTCGTTCCAATAAATTTTATTTCAATATGTGAACTATACAAAGAAGTAAGTAGGAAAAGTATTGGCCAATAATGTATTATTTGCTAAAGGTTTTCCCACTCGTTTTTCAGGGCTTTAAAGACCAATTAGTGTATCAATAGGTTTTCTTCTGACACCTTTAATATCAATAATACGCCGGATATAATATTTCTTAAAATCTATGTCAGAGGTCCTTTGCTTCGTCTGGTGAAGTAGAATCAATTTTCCGAGATTCAAGGTACTTTTTTGCTGTGTAACTTGAGGTACGCTACAGGTTTCTGTGTTCTACCGGAAAAGAATGTTAGTACATCTTCTTACAAAACATTTTTTATTGTATATCTGTTAAATCTGTGCGCAATCACTTGCGCGAGGCTGGGCTACATGGACATCGACCATAAGTTGGTTTTCATTAAGGAAGGGCGGCGTTCAATGAACGCAACCCCAACACGACCCAGCAATACAGGGCCACCTGTAAAGAGCCCAGCAGGACACCAAACAAAAGTAGGACAGGGAACAAGGCAAAGCACGGACAGGTGATAACTTTATTAATACATAAAAAGAAACCGACAAGAAAATTAAAACGAAAATTTATTTAAAGGGCCTACAAAAGTAAAGGGCTGTAGGGGAAGGGGACTTGAGGTCGGGGAAGAGGCGTGCAAAATTAAAATAAAGCAAACCTAGGGGTACAGTGAAGATCCTGAAAATTGTGCAATTTTGAATTTAAAAACATCTGCAGATGTATGCAAACAGAGTATTTAACCATTTTGGACGTTCTTTAGGGATTCTATTTTTCTCTCTTTTGCCATTGAGTCGAAACAAGGCTGACATGGAAATTGCCGCCTTGTGTAAGTGGACGGTTATATACACAATTGAGACATTGGATAGCGGTTAAAATAAACAATGAACGAATTTTTAAAAATCATTTCATAAACTTTTATCAGTCACATAATTTATATTATTAATAATTAAGATACTTACTTCTCTGGTCCGTTTATAAAATAAGTCCATATCGTATTTTTATATCCAACACATTTTGATATGTCATGATGTTGTCATATATGGACAACTTTGCACAAGAACATCTTTAAAATTACATGACAGTTTTAGGTAAATCCTTTACAATACTTTACGACAAACGTTGTTTTACACAAATGAGTGATAACTTTAAATGTTGAACAACTATTTTTAAAATATTGAGTTAACATATATAAAAGTCTATAATCTTAATGTTTACATTAATGACGAAATATGTGTCCTAATGTTCATTGGTTGGCAGTTTAACGTTGGCGTGTTTATCGGCTATTCCGATATTTCTCTATTTGATGCGCATGGATTTAACACGAAGGACGTAGAGCGACAAAACAGGTGTTAATTAGCCGATTAACTCCATTCAGAACATTTTTTTCCGATTCTAACAAGACAAATTAAAGGGGATTACTTACGCTTTTTTTTCAAGTGGATTTTCTTCCGTTGCCAATTGTCCTACGAAGCTGTTCTATTTCGCACTCTACTGTCGCTAAGGCATGCAAATTATTAAACAAAAGATATATTTAAATAGAAGAAATACCTTACTGCACTATTAAAGAATTATTTTATAAAGATTTAAGCAATTCAAACTTACTTGTAAGACTGGCTTTTATGAATGAGTAGCATACTTAGGATGATGTCTGCTCACGAATTGGCTCAACTTTTTACTTATCAACTGATCTGGATAAAACGTGTGGCGTTAGTGTATCATGTAGTTTCATATGGAAAACAAAATATAATAAGAACGGAAAATATCAGTAAAAATTACGGTGGCACAAAGGGGACATGACATATGTGTGTTTTATTTTATCTCGTGAACACAAGATACTATCTCGTGGCCACGAGTTACTAAGTCGTGGCCACGAGATACTATGTCGTGGCCACGAGTTACTTAGTCGTGGCCACGAGATAGCTAAGTCGTGGCCACGAGTTACTAAGTCGTGACTACGAGATAGCTAAGTCATGGCCACGAGATACTATGTCGTGGCCACGAGTTACTAAGTCGTGGCCACGAGATAGCTAAGTCGTGATCTAGTTTAATTAACTTATTCAAAAATAATAATGAAATGCGTCCTTTACGAAAACATTTATCACACAATCTTTGTAGTACGTGTTTCTTTTGAAACATGTGTAACAGAGTACACAAACAAAACAAAACATGTGTTGATATTTTTAAATATTGATTAAATGAAAGAAATAAAAAGCAATGATTGTTTGTTAACAATTAAAAAAACTATTCAAGTACATAAATACGGTGTTCCGTTTGGACTAAAGTGATTTTTTATTTCGTCCTTACCCGCGATGCACGATAGTGAAACGGCGATGGTACGATGACACGATGATGAAACACGATGGCACGATGGTGAAAACACGATGGTACGATGGTGACATCGCGATGTCGCGAAGGTACAGTGGCGAAAACTCGATCGTACCATCGTGAATGCATCGTGTTTTCACCATCGTACAATCGTTCATCGCGGGTACAGACAAAATAGAAAAATGCAGATTGGCCACACGGAACACCGTACATAAACGATTTTATTTAAAGTTGCAAAATATTACCATTTAAAGGGAGATAAGACAATGAATAGCTGGTATTAAAATGGTATAATAAATACACGGTGATTTCCTTGACTTTTTTTCTGTTCTAGTAATTATTTACTTTAAGATGAACACATTTATCATGGACTAACAACCATCATGTAGCTTTCAACGATAATATTGTACAATACATGATGAATTCGATGTTCTCATATGAAATAAATATGTATCTATTTCTCGTAAATTGTGTCTTATCGCACACAAACAATCATACAGAACCAACAGTTTATTCAAGAACTTTGCAATAAGTACATAATCATTTTATAGACATAGTTTATACTTATAATTAACAGACATAATTGAAAATGGGGAAAACACACATTTAACAAGCCAAGTTTTTCAGAATATTCTCTTTTTTAGCATTTAATATTTCTACATGTTTAATTACACTAGTCTTAGATTAACATTTTTATAACGTTTTACATATAGATATGTATTTTGCTACGTATATGTATAAAAATAACGTTAACTAAATTGGAAAAAATATCGCATGTATAAAATATGAAAAACACGACCATCAAGGAAGGACGACATTATTAGCTCAGACATACTACCAATATAATGTTAATGTGTATCTGATAATCACACTGATAATCTTGTAATATAATATTGTAAATACGCAGTTAGTTACATTGTTATTGTCATTTAGACGACAAGGTCAATATAATTTTCGTTCTTAAATCTTAAGATTGTAGATTTAATTTGTAACGATTGGTCTACCTTGTACATTATTGAAAGCCCCATTTTCTAAAGGTTAATTTTTTGTTTTATGTTCCATTGGTTTGCTTCTTAAAATTCGACTCAGGAACAAAGGAATAGATTTTTTTTGAACATTGACCTACAAGTAAAAGAGTGACAATCAGTTTATAAATAGTAGAAAACGGTTTTCAGTACAAGCTAAAAATATCGTCTGCCAAAAATGTTTTGAATGTGTTCAAGAATGCATGAAAAGCGTGATAAGTTCTCGTTAGTATTGTTTGGTTTTATTAACCTGTCAATTACAAACTGATTACACGGTTGATGCACACAGTATATTAACCTCCGGTAGATGTTCGGTAAGTTCCGTGAGATGTACGCTGTCAGATGGAATTTAATTTAATTTTTATCTCTAAACTAAGTGTACTTAGTATGTACGCAATAGGGTAAATCACGAGTTTATAATCTAAGTGCCACACGTGTTTAATTTCGAGGCCGCGTTAGTCCATGTTTTTTTTTCTCATTAATACTTTCAACATTATTGAATCTATATAATTATGATTATTTTATGTTGTTCGTTTTTTTATCATGTTTGACTTTATTTTGTTATGTATATACTCTTTTTAAATAAATTGTTTTTTTTAAGAATTCATGTTTGTAATTATTTAACGGATTAAAATCAATAAATGTATTTTCAATGCCGTAAAACACACTACAAATCTGTTCAATTAAAATATACTGCAAAAATAAAGAAGGAGTACTAAAACAATGGCAACAGTAAGGATCGAACCACAGACCTCTCAATTATCATGCATTCTCTTTATAGTCTGATTTTATTGACCTGTCAATTATGAATACATCATAGGACTCATTTAAATATTCAATCCCACTTCGGTTTGGTCCGTGTAGTTTACGAGAATTAATGTGGAGTATTTTAGTCATGAATTGAAAGTCACGCCAGCTTAATGTGACGGTTTTTGTTAATTCACAATAGGACAGTCGGTAAAGAGCATGCACCTGAGTAGAACAGCCAATCTTTTGTAAGTTAGCTGGATACCTTATTTAAATGAATTATTTAACGTCTTCGAATATATAGCACTCTCTCAGCGTTATAATCTAAAAATGTCTTTGTATTATAGAGTGATTTGCTGTGATTGATATTCAATCAGTGATGCGCTGCGAATGTACACTATAAGCTATGATTTGATTGAGTGATGAACTGTGATTGATATTCATTATATGTAATGAATTGGGATTGATATTCTTTCAGTATTAACTGTGATGCATATTCTATATGTAATGAACTGTGATTAGTATTCTTTATGTGATGAACTCTGATTGCTTTTCTTTGAGTGATGAACTGTGATTGATATTCTATGGATGATGAATTGACGTGCCTATAATATATCAAATTTAATGTGATAGATATTTTTTGCGTAATGTACTGCGATTGATATTTTGAGAGATGAACTGTGATAATGATCATTAATATACTATGAGTAATTAACTGTAATGCATATTCTTTAAGTGATGAACTGCGATGCATGTTCTATATGTAATGAACAGTGAACGATATGCTTATTTGAAACTAAAAACTAGAACTCCGCGAGACGAATGTGTTGCCTTGTAAACAATATAGCTGTCACTGAGGCATCTTCTTCTAAAACACTTCTTTTCTTGCATAGCAGACTGGCGTTTCCGTGAGTTTTACCCATGCCGGAAATTTCATCTGGCATGGGGGGTGCCAGATGAGTCGCGTGCCAAACAACAACGTCATTTTAGCGCCATTTATGAATGAACCGCGTTAAAATGACGTCTTTTTAGATGGGAAATATGTCTTAGGATGACGTCATTTCGCCGTTGTTATTTAAGTTGTAAGTTCATACGCTATTGTAAGAAAATAGTTATGGATGCAATGACTTTAATTTCCATGAATATATATCATATTGAGGTAAACCATTTTAAATATGAAATAATATGGCAGAATATGCAGGAAAAAATATCTTTCATATGTGTGCGGTTCGGATCGGAATATCCGTCCCTCAGGAATCCGCCCATGGGCGGGTCCCCTCGGGACGGATATTCCGGTCCGAACCGCAACATATGACAGATATTATTATTATTTGACGTCCACAGTTTACTACATGTACTGTCACACATGATTACTGTTTGAAGACAAAAATATTATAAAAAGATTTATGTAATGTCAAACACAGCTAAAATCCCAGCAAACATTTATATCATGCAGATTTTTGTTTATTATCTCCCTTGTTAACATCACACTTCTAATGTCTTTTTTCCAATTTCTTGTTTACAGTTAAAATATCAATTTGAACATCTAAAATTTTGAATTTTGAAAAAAAAAGTTATCGCATCAATCAATTAATGCATGTTTCTAACCAAGGGTATTAAGCTACACTGACCTGCTTTGGGAACACCTATAAAATTTTGTTACCATGACACTCCTGTTATCATAACTTACTTTATTGTAACAAAATGCATGATATTCCAAAATAATCCAGTTAAAGTTCTAATATACATGTACACCTACATGCACCACTAGAAGTTTAAGTTTGTCCAAAAATTGTATGTAATTTTGTCAATTTTGTCACTCTGGGTATTTTATTTTTAATTGAAAAAATAAATTAAGGGGTTTGATAAAAGCATGTTTTGTAAATTGTAATACTTTTAGTGACATAACACCACATACTTTATTTTAACCCTTTAAATACAATATGGCAATAATATTTAGCCATTACCAGATCATACAGAATCAGGGGTGCAAAGTTATAAAAGAAATTTCCTTTTCTCAAACTCAGATCTCAGTGATTTGATTGGTCAGAAACTGTTAATGAATGAACATTGACCAATCAAAATCCTTAGATTTGAGATAGATCTCAGAAAAAAGCCTACTTTTCAGTATATGTTAGCTGATTAATTTCCACATTTTTTTTATATAAACCCTTTTATTTAACAATGAAACATTCCATATTTAAAGCAGAGCAAGTCCATTATGTATATGTAGGTTTGGTAGGATGCGGATGGTGACAAAATTTACAAAGTTTTTACAAGTTTTTGGTGGACAAATTATTCAAGTGCCTATTATCCAATTTAATAGGGCTTTTCTGCAGTCCATTACATATGCCTAGAGAATAATGTACAAGGGGGCACTTGACTGAGGTTACTCCTCTACTTAAAGACTCAGCTATGGCTTAATGCAAAAAATGATGACTTTAAAAATGCTGTAAAGTCAGAAGAACATTTTGTTATTGTAATATATATTTATTACTGTGATTATCAGTATTTACTAATTTAACTCTTCTATTATTATAAGCATAAACATTTATTACAAAGTTAATTTATTTCTGAAATTCTGGAGATACAATAGTGAATTTAATATTGTGTGAATTTAATATTGTACTGGAATAAAATGCATCTTAGGCCTTCAATGATTATTTGAATATTTCTTCAGTGAAAGAAAGTAAATTATGAAATTTTAAAATTTGCATGATCATCAATCACGTTCATAATGATTATACTTGTAAATATCCCACTTTATAAAGGCCTTATACTTTATAAAGATTTAAAACAGATTTTATGTTATAAACTTTAATGATAAACTGAGATAAGGCGAAGAATTCTTGTTCATTACAGCATATATATAACCTGTTGATAAATATATTTCAGAATTTTATAAAAAAAATATGTAATTTGCAATAAAGGGAGGCAATTCCTAAAGTTTTCACAGTGTGCTGTGCTTTTGTATAATCACTTTGTGTGTGTTATCTCCCTTTACAACTCTAGGTGCCGGAGCGAACGTGGGTGGTCGCAGTTCAGGGGGTAACTTATGACCTTCCCGTAGGTTGACTATGTTATAAACATTATTTCATATTATTTTTTTTCATTTTTTATACATTAATTTATTTTTAGATAAATTTTATAGAAAAGAAAAAGAAGTTCCATTAATATGACCAAAAAAATAAATAGATTCAATGTTTTTAAAAAATTTTTAAAAAAAAATAACGCGATAAAAACCCATTTTTTTCTATGTTGCGCAACTTAGATTTTGCTAGACTTTTGATGATTCATTTTATTCCATATACTTTTTATACCAGGTAAAATATTTTCTGTTGCAATTTGTTTGAGGTCGATTTACAGACTGACTGGACTATCTACTATATTTCCTTCTTCAAACCTCAACAAATGAACATTAAAAGAAAATGACAAATTTCTCTCTTAATTTACATAATTATTTTCTTATTGTTTTCGATTGTTTCTTCTGAATTTCCTTTTCAACTGGTGTTTTTTTTCTATTTACAATTATTATTGTTACATTTCTTTTTATTCTATAACTTTTTTTGTTCAATTAGGTCAAGAATTTTAGAAAAAAAGTTTTATTATGTTATTTTTTTAAGAAAGGCAGTTAGAAAAGTTTCAATCTACTTTCAGACTATTATGAAAAAATCTAACCTATTATAAATAATTGTAGAAAACCAAAATCAAAATACACGGTACAAATAAATAAGATATTATATTTATTTTAAAGACATTTGTAGTAAAGAAATTTTGAAACTAGATTTCCCTGAGGAACACATATTTGTCACTTTCTGTAAAGCTGCTTATACCTGCATTTTCATACCGCTTTCCAACCCCTGCAAACTTTGCTTGAAATTGTTATCGATATTTTCTCCATTTCCTGAAAGTAACTGCTGTTTTAACTTATTAAGACCCTTTATGTGTCTATTTATTGCCTTATGAATTTTGCCATTTCCGTTAGAATTTGTATTATTTTTGTTAAACCTGTGTTGTACATTTGTGTTACATTTCTGTGTTAACCTATTTATTTATTGTTGAAGGGTTAAATTATATAATTATCTTGAGTAGCCAATTTATAGGGGTATATATTATTTAGATGTTTGGTGTATTTTCTCTGTATTTTACTAAGCAGATTCCTATTCTCTATTCTCAATAAAATACGTATGCGTACAAAAAACACTATTTTTTCTTGCATAATGCATAATACCATTTGGACGGTAAACCATCACTATACCTAACATATTAGAGACTGCCTTAAGCTAGCTAATACACATTGTTGGTGTTTCTACCTTGCTTATGCCTGCTATTATTGATAATATCTGACATATGTTTGTGGTTCAGACCAGAATATCCGTCACCGAGGGACGGATATTCCAATTCGAACCGCAAACATATGTCAGATGTTTTTTCTTGCATATTCTACAATATTCCATTATATTTTATTTCTATATCTTTGTTTTCAACGGAAATTTATATCATTACAGCCGTAACTATTTTCTTACAACAGCGTATGAAACAGCACGCGACTCATCTGGCACCCCCCATGCCAGATGAAATTTCCGGCATAGGTTAAACAGACGGAAACGCAAGTCTGCTATGCAAGAAACACTAAGTACACAAAAGGGGCAGCCTGGAATTTTTCTTGACCACTTAAGCCACTGTGACATTTATAATGTCAGTATGGCTTTTAACTGGGAGAGAAAAAAAAAATGACTGTATAATTAAGGCTTGTGATATCTGGCCTGAGCATCAACTAAAGTCATCCACGGTAACCCAGGCTGTATATTGTATACCATAGTTAAATGTAGTATATATGGGATGTGTACTGTTGGTTCTGATGATGGACTTAAGAATTTTTATACTAGACTCTCCTTAAGTATCACAGACTCCTCTTAAGTATCATAGACTCCTCTTAAGTATCATAGACTCCTCTTAAGTATCATAATGGACAGTTCACAATACAAAGCAGGATATGTTCATTACAGAAATGAAGGGAGAGAACGGTTAAAATTGTTCAAATTTGAATTTATAACCTATCACTGTTTATCATTGACAGCTTAAATTGGATAAAATGTTTATGAATTTTTAGTCAAATTTAAAAGTCAGCAATGGTTCATAAAATATTTTGGTTTCTTATTAATTAACTTAATATTGCGCATCTTTTTGCAGTTATTCGTTTTAAATCAAAAGGTGACTGAAAGTAAAAAAATATAAAGTGTATTTACATATTATTTATTTGTAGAATTAAGATATTCAATATAAGAACTTTATAATATGTTTAATAGAATGTAAAATGTACAATAAATATTTATTGTATTAAAATATTTTTCAAATAAAAAACATGATTTTACAACTTTAACAATTTATATACAAACTGATCTTTATACAAAATTTATCTTTTATTATCTTATTATTCCTGGATATGTGTGTTTTTCATCAATGCCATAAACAAACTTCAATTATTTCTTATTTATCAGCAATGATAATTTTTCTATTAGTATGCTATATTACCACATCTACCAACGAGAGGCCTTAAAATTATGAATATACATGTATAATATCTATATGAACGATATCAAGTCAATTTGTCAATTACCAATAGCTCTTTCAATCAGTAAAAGATATTTCTTAATAATTACATTTAACATTATTTATCTACATTAATTAAACAATAAATTTCTTGTTGATGTAAATAAAAGACAATTCTTTCATAAGCATTTATTTTAAATAAATATATTAGATATTATCATAACTATTTTCATATTTTTAATTGGGAATATTCAGTCAGAAATTAATATAGGATTTAAATATTACGGTTATTATTTTAGTTGGAATATTAAAGTTAAAATGTAAAGAAAATCAGAGAAGAAAAAAACAAACTTTTATTAAAATTATGTACAGTATTTATATAATACACTGGTTAAGTTGGTGCTATGGAAACATATTTTAATACTAGTATCACATTATTTTGTCACTTTCTAGCTTCTTTGACTGCAGATGCTAAAGGTAAAGGCAATAAGGCAAAAGGAAAAGAAAAAGGTGGGAAACCTACACAAGAAACAGAGGCGAGTTGATGTCAACTAAAGCAACTATTTCGTCACCTTAGTGCAATAACTGGTTAACTTCTTTTAAATTCAGAAGGATGTTACTGAGATGAAGATGTTATGTTTTCAAAGCAGATTTATCGTCACAATACTGAACTACTGAAGGGAAAGGGTTAAAACTTCGCCTACTTGTTTACTCCGATCATCTTACATGATGATTATCAAACTTGATGAGCACAGGTCACACAACTCTGAGTCAACTTTTTACAGAGTTATGCCCCTTTACTTACTGTCAAGCACTGAAAATAGTCTAGCCCACTGACTTACACACATCTCTTGTTATTTACGTAACATACGTAATGTAATTACTAATTAGGTACCTATTATGCCTTGTTTGGGAATACAATAAATAACAAGTAGTAGATATTTGTATACTTGTATTAAACATTGTTTATGAACATCATTTTTAATTTTCATACAAACTTTGGCAAACATCTAGTTTCGAAATGAAAGTTGAACATAATTTGTATTATAACAGAACAGTTTTATTATTATAACTGTTTATATTTCAGCCAGCTGACAGTCCTGACTTTATAAACCCACTGTTAGAAGGTGCTGATTATATAGATGGTCAACTGTGGGTAGCTGGTAACAGGGTTCTCATTAACCTCAATCTCTCACGTATGTATTCAACTTTAATGTTAATTTCAATCATATAAATGCTCTGTTACTTAATATTTGTAGGTCTGAGTTGAATTACTGATTATGAATATCTTGGGTTTTAATAAACATCGTGGTTGACTCAAGAAAATTTCTTACATCAAATCACTCAATTCTTGTTTTCTGATTCCACAAATGTGCCTTTCTCTGCCATTAATGCTAAAAATTTGCATTTTGACAAGACGAGGATCAATAATTGATTGATTGATTGATTGATTGATTGATTGATTGATTGATATGCAATAAGTCAGCATGACAACATCATTAAATAAATACATAAAATTTAAAAACAAAGTGTATGAATTAGTAATTATTAGCCATATTGAAAGAAACATTATACAAAATAGAAGAGTTAGAATAAGCTTATATCTCCATTGTGGTCTTAAATGAGCTATGTTATTTTGTGATTTAGTAAAACATGGAATACATTTAATCAAACAATGAAAAAAACTACTTTTGATATGTTATAAATAGAATATTATATTCGTGTATAACTTCATTACTAAATTTATTAAACCCGTTGAATGAAATATTATGCTTGCTAAGAGGCTGGCATTAAACCAACACTTTTATAAATTTGTGTAGCTTCATTTCTAAATTCGTTGAATGTTGAATGTTCTATACATGTATATATGATATTATATGTAAAATATTACAGGAAATGAGATAGGCGAGACAGGCCTTGAGGCTCTACTGAAGGCCATGCAGTATCAGACAACATTGTGTATATATAATATTGAATATGTAAAATATTACAGGGAATGAGATAGGTGAGACAGGCCTTGAGGCTCTACTGAAGGCCATGCAGTATCAGACAACATTGTGTATGGAAAACAAAAGTAGCGGAACTGGTCTTATGAGATTATTAGTCGGGGTAAGTTAACATGGGCTTGTATATTTATTGATTCATTTTATTTTCTGGGGCGTCCTTGGCCGAGTTGTTAAGGTCGTTCACTTCGAACCACTTGCCATTCACCGCTGTGGGTTCGAATCCCGACAGGGACTTTTGATTCTGTCATGTTAGGAAGCTATCCTGGTAGCTTACGGAACGTGGGTGGTTGTACTCAGGTGCCCGTTTCTGCCTGAAATAATGCACGGAAGGGCACCTGAGGTCTTCCTCCACCAGTAAAGCTGGAACGTTGCCATATGACCTATACTGTGCCGGTGTGACGTTCAACCCAATCTAACAAACAAACAAATTTTATTTGATTGCGGATAACAGTTTTAAGTTTTAGCAAACTAGTTGTTAATTTATTTATTTATTTTTTTTGCAGAAGAACAAGGTACGATCTAGCCATGAGTTACTACAGAAGATAACAGATATCATGTTACCTAAAGATCCTTTCTATAAACCACCACCACAGACCCCGGATGTTACTGAGGCTTAAACACAAATACAGAATTACATAATGTCACTTTTAACTTTAATATAGTTACAGCTCTTTAATTGAATGATTTAGAAAAAAATCTTTGACTGGATTCTTTGGGAAAATTATTTTATTGGATTCCATGGAAAAATTCTTTAATTGGATTCCTTGGAAAAATATTTTGACTGGATTCTGTAGAAAAATTCTTTGATTGAATTCCATAGAAAAATCTTTGAAGTTATAATTCTTTGAAAATTTTAAAAGATTTTGGAAAAATAAAGATAGTGTATGAACTGGAAAATGAAACAGCTATCTTCTGATATCGTTAAACGTGTTTATGAATGTGATAACAAAAACTGTGATTTTTAGATATAATAAATCAGTGCAGAATTTTGTCATAATTTGTTCTATGCTGAATTTAAGGTCAACATTAAAACATGATATATTAGTAATACTTATATCAAATATATATGTGTTAAATAAACAAAGTTATTATAAAATGTGCTAAAATGTTAAATGTAAAAGCCTATAGCTATTACTTGGCTTTTAAATTATTCTAGAAGTTTAGTCAACATTAACACATACAATACTAGTATAAAGCCTAACATTGTTGAAATGTGTGAAATTTGAACAGAAAAGCGTATATCTTGTAAAGGTTACTTTCTGTTAAATGGTAGATAATAATTCTAGGATAATGAATATGCAACTTATTGAAATAATGTTGTCTTTTATGTAATAAACTTTAAAACACTCGCATTATTATTTAGATAAAAGTTGTTTGTATTTTTTTTAAAACGTCCATATTTTCTGTGATAATGTTCAGAGTTATTTATATATGTACATGTTTGGTTATTTTATTTAATAAATGTTTTTGAATGTATTTTTTATTTCAAAAACATATATATTACTTAACAGTTTGAAAGTTTAGAATCATAAATGCATATATATGTGTTACATATTATGTTAAGACACATAATGTTATGTATGTTAATATGCAAATAACATTTGTGATGAATAAAGAAATCTCCTTACATCTCGTTGTAACTGCTCCGAAACCCACCACTGTTTCATGACTGACTGGATTCCTTAAAATAGTTCTTTGATTTCAAATCCTATAAAAATTCTTTGAATTCCATGGAATAGTTCTTCGATTGAATCACATAGAAAAATTCCTTGATTGAATTTCATGGAAAAATCGTCTGTTGTGAGATTGCTATTATCTTGTTCAAGTAAGCTTTGAATTTCTATTACAATCTGGTCATAACTGATGTTTAAACTTATCTATAGTGCATATAGAAATGAAATTGACAGTGTTCCTATTAACATCACGTTTACGAACGACTATTTGCCAACATGTAATGATGAATTTAGGATAATGGCAATATTCTTTTATTCATTAAGAACAAATCTGGTTCAGGACTTTCTGAACTTAGAAACTTCTACATCATCTAGGCTCTTGTTTTACTATCAAGCTCTTGGAATAGTTGGGCACGTTGTCGCTCCAACACTTGTTTTGTTCCTGATCTTCAAATCTTGGGCCAGGTAATGCACTGAAAACGTTTGTCTTGATATATGAATCAACAGCTGTGTCAGAGAAGTGAAGTCTTGTCTTAAAATTGAATTTTTATTACTACACTTTCATTTAATATGAACAACTAAATTGAGGTATAAATTAATGCATGATTTTAGAAAGAATATAACAAGTAAAAACATCAAACGTAATCATCAGCTTATCTTTAATATAACTACATATATGTGTACATTTGATATGTATGTAAAAAATAACATTCCCATGAAGCAACATGACCTGAGAGGCTAATAACATAAAAGCTAACGATACAGCCCGCCTCTGAAATATCTGGTGTTGAAAATTAGTTCTGTCAAACGTTAGGAATTTACTGAATACAATTAAGATTGACTCTGTAGTTCAAATTTTGCAACTTTCCACCAATGGACGAAGATCACAACCAATTCACATGGGCGGCATGTAATTTTTTTTGAGTATATATATATATATATATATATATATATATCAAATAATATATATATATATATATATATATATATATATATATATATATATATACTTGAATTGCCTGGTTTATAGGAACTTAGTCACCAGACCGTTTTCCAGGAACGTCGCTTTCTACCTTTTATATAACAATAGGTAGAATATTTTTTTGTGTTTTCCACTGTCAATTTTATAAATATAAATAAATTTCATCTTTTTAAAAAATATGTCGTTGCCATTACAATGACAAAAAGGTTCACATATACCATTGACAAAATATGAGTGATACACCTCTATAAATGTTCCAATATATTTGTCGTTGTCATTACAATGACAAAAAGGTTCACATATACCATTGACAAAATATGAGTGATACACCTCTATAAATGTTCCAATATATTTGTTTTATGATCACATATGTTTTTTTTCTCGTCTATGAATTTATAATGTATGTTTTGTTTTAAACTTGTCCACTGAACTTTTTAACTTATATATTTGATTTAATGTTTAATCTTTCAACGTATACAGCATAGTTACAGCAACATCAGCTAACCACAATATAACTACCAAGTTCTTCATGTAAAATGACTACGACTTTATATGTGAGTAACTTTCTAGGTCCATAATCGTATTGTACACTGCAAAACAACACCAGAACATCAACTTAGCTCGTCCGCGCCTCCAGCAGGCTAGTCGTATATGCCTTGCATCACTTCCTCTCCTGCAAAAGCTTCCGGTCTGTTTTTAAAATAAATAAGTGCAGACTATAGGATCCAAACCCGATTCTGTGTTTTTTGAAGGGTACTGAAATGCGTGCAAATAGCAAAACTATTTTGCTATATAGTATCATAAAATTTAACGCACAGACTTTACCGTTACAACATACAGAGAATACGCAAAACGGTTGGCCAGTTGAATTATCGTTTCACGGATACTAGATGTTTTGGAATTTTACTCAGAGTACGATTGAGTGACAACGTAATTCTACAATTATGTGTTTAACAGGCCCAGGGACACTGGGCGACACAGGGTGCTCGCGCTCTTACCTGGCCTCAGATTTTAAGCCAATGGTATGATTTGTAATCGCCCTCGCCCTATGCCAAGCCTTTGGACCTGAGTCTATTTAATAACATTAATAACCACATATATTTCAAATTTATACTTGTCCGACAGCAAGAAATCACTTACATACATATCATGCCCCCTCTTGGCCCGTGTACATCGCGATGTCTGATATAAAGATTTCAAGGTATTATGGAACATTTTGCATTATGGTGGTATCTACCGCACATGTATTGATTGCAGATCAGCCCTGGTGACAAACGTTGCAAAAATATGCACGGAAGGCACAAACCGTACTTCAGTAGATACAAGAACAAGATGAAGTAGATCCGGGTCATGGATTTAAGAAACTCTAATATTCTAGGGGATTTTGGAACTTTTGCGTTCACCACACATCAGACATGCTCTTGTGATAAAATGATGCTAAAATACATAGAGGGTTCACAAATACATGCTTTAGTGGATGCAGAAACAAGAACTTTGTGTGTGTCTTTCATTTACTAATCAAGACATGCATTGCAATGCCCGAAATAAAGATTCCAAGGGATTTTATAACATTTCGCGTTTTGCTGGTATTCAATGCACATTTATCCATAGAAGACTAGCCCTGTTGGCAAAATGCTGATAACGAAAACACTGATACATGCTCTAGTGGACACATAAACAAGATGCATGTGTTTCTCTCCGTGTATCTCACAAGAACTTTCAGTGCGAAGCCTGAAAATAGATTCTGAAGAGTTCCGGAGCATTTTGAGTTCTGTTAAGATTAACCGCAGATTTATCCATGTCAGACACACCCTTGTGACAAAACGGTGCGACAATACACACAGAAGGTACAGATTCATGCTAAAGTGGATATAGAAAAGGATTTAGTTTTTTTCTCCCAGTCTCTGACCAGCACTTACAATGCGATGCATTGATATTGAAATTGTAAGGGATTTTGGAACATTTTGCGTTCTGTTAAGATTCGCCGCACAAATATCCATTTCAGACAATACTGCTAAAATAAAAACAGGCGATACAAATGCATGCTCAGGTAGATACAGAATCAGGATAAAAGTGTTTCTCTCAAAATATCTGACAATCCCATATAATGCGATGTCTCATATAAAACTTCTAAGGGATTTTGGAACTTTTTGCGTTCTGTTAAAGTCCGCCGCATCCCAACACAAGTATCCATATCAGACCAGCCCTGGTGACAAAATATTGCTAAAATACAACCAGAATGCACAAATTGTACTATAGAAAATAAGAGAAAGAGAACATGGTCTAAGTGCTTCTCTCATTATCTGAAGAGAGCCGACATTGGGTTGCATGATATGAAGATTCCAAGGGATTTTGGAACAATTTGCTTGGCTTTACAAAACGTAGTCTTTCAATATTACTATTTAGAACAATGATTGCATTGCACGAAGTGGTCAGAAATCGAAAAAAACTTAGCTCAAGTTTGTGTATCAACTTGAGCATGTATTTGTGCATTCCGTATGTATTACGGAGGGTAGGGTTGACAATGATACACGTGCAGCGAAACTAAGCACATAACATAAATTCAAATTTCTGTCGTTATATTTATTTCGGTCATTACAATGTTACTCTGATAAGTGAAAGAGAAACCCCTTAGATCCCTTAATAGTTCAGCATCTAATTGTGCATTCCGTGTGTATTTGAGCAGCTTTTTGTCACTAGGACATATCTGATATTGCGAATCATAACACACACATTTGTTTCAAAAATCCTTGTTATTTTTATATTGGGCTTCGCAATATAAGTTCTGAAAATGGGTGAGAAACTTGATCATGTATTTTTGCCTTTCGTGGGTATTTTTGCATTATTTTAGCGCCAGAGCAAGTCTCATATCAATACGAAGTGCGTCAAATCTTGGCAGAACACAAAAACGTTCCAAAATTCCTTAAAATCTTTATTTAGGGCATGGTGATGTACGTTCTGGGCAGAAAATTGAAATAACTTGGATCCTGTGCCTGTACCATGTGTATTTTAGCAGCGTTTTGTCGCCAGGCATGTCTGTTATGGATGCATGAGCGCCGAATCTGAATAGAACACAAAATGTTCCAAAATCTCTAGTAATCTTTATGCATGGCATCCTAGTCTACTTTCTATTCCACATTGTCTGAACTACATGTTTATAAAACTGTATCCTGACCGGAAACCATCGCAGGTACATATACAGAAAATGTTGTTTTGTTCGTGTTCGATGTCATTTCGGATTTGTTTTGGGAGTGAAACGTAGAAACGTTTACCTTTATCTATTTTCTTTTTAAAATGTATATTGACATAAAAAACAACTAAGAAAGTCTTCGACTGTCTGATTTGTTAAAAGTACACCTAAAACAACGTTTTTCAAATGTGAAGTGGAGAAAAACTCGCGAAAAGGGGATATTTTCCTAACCGTAACACTTTAGACGAGTTTTAAATACAAAAACGATATCCATGTATAAATATTATTCGATATCATCTCACATGTTTGTATAATCAAGTTAAATTCTCGAATTAAATGATTAAATCCGGTCATAGATGACTGTATGTTGAACCTGAAAAAACGATATTCAAACTGTATACATAACCGTAATTTTACTGAATGATAACCTGAGTGATTTTCAGGAACTGTATGAGTAACTTCTTCATTTACTGAGACTTGAACGGTCATACAACATAGTGAAAAGTAAAATGGAATATTTTTGATGTTGTCCATACTAACTAAAGGCATATAAGAACGTGTTTTCCACAAA